GCACCGCCTAACTCTGTTTACAGGGCCGTCGAAAAGATAAATACTGGAAGCGGCTCTACGCGAAGATAATCATCACTAAACATGCCGTATGTACAAGTTGGACGGACGCATTCTTTTCTAGGGAAAAGGTGAGTTCCATGTGCAATTAGAGCCGTTTTTATTAGAAGCTGTTGTTTACATATAACAGTCATAATGAAGATAATTTGAAGATACCGGGAACATTTCGATCATGGGGCAAATGTAAAGAAGATACGCTCACTGGTTTTCCAAGGGGGATTTTTTTTTTTTTTTTCATTGAATGCGTTCTAACTGCAATCTGGAATGGATTGCCTGCACTATGAGCTTCAGTAGAAGAGTTGCACCGAGCCATTCCCATCGTGCTCTGGCGAAGGCCAACCGCTACACATTTCTGTCTCCAGCAAACTTCTGTTTACATTTTCATTCTTTTTGTACCATTGCCAATAGATTATATAAGAAAAAATAAATCCTGATATTTGGATTTGTCTGAATTATCCCAGTATATGGGTGTTGCATTGTAACCTTGCCTTGCTTTTCATTAACCCATTCGCGCCGTGTGTCACGTATACGTGACATGCCCACTGTGAGTTTACTTGTTTGATTGTTTTTACACATAGAAGGCTCCACTTGTTGCGAGTACTGCCTGTCTTGCCCCTTTACCCCTTTCTTTAATTTACGAAAATATTTTACGTTATCTTATTTTGCTGTTCCTAATGTTTATAACATTATAGTAATTATAATGTTTATAATAAAAATAACCATTGATATTCATAGCACTAGTAAAAAATACATTTTCCTGCCAAATGAAATCAGATAAGGCAGAGCCATCTATGTGTAGAGACATTTCACAAAAAGTATAAAAAATGAGCACAGCATTTTCCCCATTTTTTGTTCATTTTTACCTGTCGCGAATGGGTTAAGAGAGAGAGAAAAGTACAGTATATGCTATGATTATGGTGTCACTAGTTTCAAGGCAGATTTAGCTGCAGACAGAGATCAGCCAGGCTGCTCAATAAGGCAACCTGTGTATGTAGTAAGTACACCATTCATTGACTTTTCTTTGAGGTCATCTGACACCACATGTGAGTGTGAGCAAGAAGATTCATGCATCTTCTTCACAATATTATGACATTTTTACTACTTAAATTTCTATTAACAAGTATATAAACAATGTCAAGGGTTGATTCACAGTCCATGAATTATCAAGCAAATGCAAAGGAATGTAAAGAAAAAATGAGAGGGAACTAAAGAGAAAGAAAGGTAGAAAGATATGAAGAGAGGGGGTGATGGAGGTTGGGTGTTTTTTTGAGGAATGCACAGTAAATATTTTTTTGCAAGTATTTTTGTTTAGTTGGATCTGGGTGCCTCACTACCCGTATATGGCCCAAAATCCAGGCATTAGGCTTCCTTGAGTGGTAACCCTCTCAAGTGTGTAGTTTGTAGGCCTGGTTCACATGAATGCTCAGATACAGTGTGAAGATTCCTTAACCCCCTCCCATTTTCTAAGGTCTATATTTGTTACTGGATAAGCTATTATATGAATTTTGTTTAATTTGCACACCCTCTATCATCTCTCAGGGTAGTCAAGCGAACCTTGAGGGGTGGACTATTTCTCTCTCCATCATACTCTAAGCTTAGGCCAGTAATGAAGACTTTGTACCACTAATGGGGGCACTGAGGCTTATCCCTTTATCAAATAGCCCATTGATTTTAATTCTCCTGCTTTCTCAACTTCAGGCTCTCTTGACCGCAACTCTGAACACAGCTACTATTACCCCTTCATCAATACTTTCTGTCACATCAGTCCAGTCTAAATCATCTGTCCAGGTCAATATTCATTCTCCAGGAAACATTCTTCCTCTCCCAACATCCTCTACTTCACCTCCTCCACCCACACAACTTTCTTCAGCTACCCCATCCTTCTTGTTATTACTCTGCAACCTTATTGTCCACCTCTCCGCTGAACTACCTCACTCAACACTACTTCCTCTCCTACATTTCCTTGTATTACTGCCACCTATACAAACATCTTGAGTACTCTGTTTAGCCCAGCCAAATGAGGTCAATTTTTTTGTAAACCAGTTGGCAAAGTTTCCTTCTGCAGCCACCCCAATCATTCCTGTCTTGTCACAATGACATCTGAATCCCAAACCCGAACTGTCTCCATCTCCCCGACAAACTGCCCTTTCTGTGACAAGGATTGATCAGATTGTGGAGAAGACTTACTCACCTGCCTCAGGGACTATGATGCAGTATCATTACTATGCCACACCATCCCCCCTAGAGGCTGTCATAAGTCCCCCACCAATATTACCAACATTACTTTCCATAGACATGACCTCCCCCTTAACGTTTACATTTGCGGAGAGTCACTCCCTGTCTGACCATATCAACCTCCCCCCATCAATGTCAGAATTGTTGGCATCTAGGCCTTCCTGCCAAATGCTGGTATTCCACAGCCCAATGTCCTCTATTTTCCCAACCTGGTCATAATCGATCAAACTGATCTGCACAGGTACACTTGTGTGCCATTTGTGTTGGCTCCCATAATGTATTTTATAGAGGCTGCCCTACTTCCATATTCCATACTCTATATTCCAATAATGTCCTTCATTCTGCACCTCCCCTATCCTCCCAAGATGTTTCTACATCTCCCCCAATATCTCTGCCTCATCCCACTTCTACCCCCTCCCTCTCCCAGTCCAATTCAAATCCAGACACCCAAATCTCCACCACTATTCCAGACACTCCAGCCACTACTTCTCTGGTACCTACCCCTCTTCCTCATCACCCAACTCGCCGTACAAGACAAGCTAAATGCTCCATCCCATCTTCTCCATCAACCTCTTTCTCAATCCCTCAAACATCTGTCCCCTCTTCTCCCCCCCTCCCTATGAAAACCCTTGTTTCTTAGATCTCCCCAACTGACTTCACTGCAGAAACTCTCAAAGACATTCAAGTCTATCCAGTCATGACCCAAGATAACATTCCCATACCTCATCCATCCATCTAGCACATTTATTTTGCTTTGTAACTATTTACCCATTATGCTGTGGCAAGATGATAATAGACTTTTTAGTAAGTCTATAACTCTGTGCAATATCAGTAATAATGAGTTTTTTCTTTCTTTTCTTCTTCTTCTTCTTCTTTGTATTATTCAATTTTCTGTAACACACATTGCACTGCCAGTCAGAACAAGCAGCAATAGGATCCTGATCATGGAAATAGTGTCCTCCCTCATTTCTCTCTCTTTCTTTCTTTCTCTCTTTCTTTCTCTCTTTCTTTCTCTCTTTCTTTCTCTCTTCTTCTTTCTTTCTTTCTCTCTCTTTCTTTCTCTCTCTTTCTTTCTCTCTCTCTCTCTCTTTCTCTCTCTCTCTTTCTCTCTCTCTCTTTCTCTCTCTCTCTTTCTCTCTCTCTCTTTCTTTCTCTCTCTTTCTTTCTTTTTCTCTCTTTCTTTCTTTCTCTCTCTTTCTTTCTTTCTCTTTCTTTCTTTCTCTCTCTTTCTTTCTTTCTCTTTCTTTCTTTCTCTCTCTTTCTTTCTTTCTCTTTCTTTCATTCTCTCTCTTTCTTTCTTTCTCTTTCTTTCATTCTCTCTCTTTCTTTCTTTCTCTCTCTTTCTTTCTCTCTCTTTCTTTCTTTCTTTCTCTTTCTTTCTTTCTCTCTCTTTCTTTCTTTCTCTCTCTTTCTTTCTTTCTTTCTCTTTCTTTCTTTCTCTTTCTTTCTTTTTCTTTCTTTCTTTTTCTTTCTTTCTTTCTTTCTCTCTTTCTTTCTCTCTCTCTCTCTCTCTCTCTCTCTCTCTCTCTCTCTCTCTCTCTCTCTCTCTCTCTCTCTCTCTCTCTCTCTCTCTCTCTCTCTCTCTCTCTCTCTCTTTCTTTCTCTCTCTCTCTCTTTCTCTCTCTTTCTCTCTTTCTCTCTTTATTTCTTTCTCTCTCTTTCTTTCTCTTTCTTTCTCTCTCTCTCTTTATTTATTTCTCTTTCTTTCTCTCTCTTTCTCTCTTTCTCTCTTTCTTTCTCTCTCTCTCTCTCTCTCTCTCTCTCTCTCTCTCTCTCTCTCTCTCTCTCTCTCTCTCTCTCTCTCTCTCTCTCTCTCTCTCTAATACTATTAATGCTAATGCTGTTATTATTATTATTATCATGATTATTTCAATGTTATTGATATTACTAATTGCAATATAAAGAAGATAAACACCAGGGCTGAGACCATCATATTTATTCAGGCAACATTTCAGATTACACATAAATCAACTCTCAAGCCAATCTATTAGGTGAAAGTATATATACTTTACACAAAATAAAAACATAAATATCCTAAAACAGGGCTTTACAACCTTGAAAATTAAAAATAAAGCAATAAAACGAGTACAACATACAAATAAAATAAGCAAAAAACTTGACAAAATGAAAAGTAAACATTAAAATGGGGTTTTGAAAGCACAAGGACAACACATAGCTAAAATAAGCAAAAGCTTGACTGAACTAAAACTAAAACTTCTAGATGATTAGTACAAAAGAAACAAAAAGATAACATTAAAACTGAGAAATTAATGGATAAAAAACTACAAAATGGAATGAAACACATTGAAAAAAATAAAAACCAATGGGCAATACACCCAGTTAAGGGGTAGGGTTTTAGAAGCTTAAGAGTGTTGGTTTATGGGTGGCTGTGAATATGCTTTCCATGATGAGCTGCTGGTGGTATGGAGTGCTTGCTAAAACAGAAGTTTTGGTGATGTATGGGTTGATCTGTGTCACATGCGTGATTCCTGATTGCCAAAAAGAATTGTTTGGCCATTTGGATGCCAGTTTGGTTGGAAATACCATCAACATATAGAAAATGCTATGAAGTAGAATGAATATCTTCATAGTGCAAAAGATGTATTTGAAAAGTTTCAATTAAATCTACATCAGAATGCATGTATTTGTGATAAAGATTAATCAAAACACGCCAGACACATCACTTGTACTGTAAAGTTGTGCATTCTCATTCACACCCTTTTCGACATTAGTTACAACAAACACCATGTCATCATCAATGTCTTCTTTTGATGTTTGCATCTTTATTTCTTCTATTTACTTACAGATTGTGGGAAATTCTAGGCAGCTTGCAGGACTTTGGTGTTGGAAGGATGGTGGTTCGAAGCCGTTTCGAGAGATACCCTGAGGTTTGCTACTACAGGATTGTCAGTGCAAAGCCCCAGATGGACAATGGCAGACCACACATGGATGAGGTAAGCAAATATTTCATTGTGAATTTTGACTTTTGTCAGTGACATCCTTTGATTAGTGTTACTACAGCAAGTTTCCTTTCAGATTCATTATGATAGATCTCATGACCAGTGGTATCATAATTATTATAGATTTTACTGAAGTAATGAAGGGATAAACTGTGTCCACATGATAAGTTTACAGTTCCAAGCTTTGCATTATGTACAGTTTAAGACATTATTTTTTATTTGTCTTTTTTGGTTTGGTAAAAGTAAAACAAATACACACAGACACACATGCATATATATGTACATGTATATATATGTATACACCTCACCTGATTTCCCATTTCCTTTAATTCTTAAGATTTCTCTCTCTCTCTCTCTCTCTCTCTCTCTCTCTCTCTCTCTCTCTCTCTCTCTCTCTCTCTCTCTCTCTTTCTCTCTCTCTCTCTCTCTTCCTCTCTCTCTCTTCCTCTCTCTCTTCCTCTTCCTCTCTCTCTTCCTCTTCCTCTCTCTCTTCCTCTTCCTCTCTCTCTTCCTCTTCCTCTCTCTCTTCCTCTTCCTCTCTCTCTTCCTCTTCCTCTCTCTCTTCCTCTTCCTCTCTCTCTCTTCCTCTCTCTTCCTCTCTCTCTCTCTTCCTCTCTCTCTCTCTTCCTCTCTCTCTCTCTTCTCGCTTCTCTCTCTCTTCTCGCTCTCTCTCTCTCTCTCTCTCTCTCTCTCTCTCTCTCTCTCTCTCTCTCTCTCTCTCTCTCTCTCTCTCTCTCTCTCTCTCTCTCTCTCTCTCTCTCTCTCTCTCCTAAACTTTGTTGTAGCCAGGGTTTTTGCTGGGGTGAAGAGATATATCTAACTGCAATTTTATTAATGTCGACTGAAAAAGGGATTTAAACCATGGCCTTGGTATTTTTTTACACTATTCACTGAAGGTATTTTAATTTTTTTTTCATATAAGTCTTATGTAACAGAACAAGAATCTAAGAATAAAGTGCTGGATATGAAAAGCTTACCTACAGGATGTACTAAAAAGATTTTGCAGAAGTAGAAGACATAATTTCTACTTTTGGGTGAATAATTGAATTCATTGCACCAATTTGCACAGAATTTGATTCTGTAATGACAGGGCTAATAAGTGTATAATTATTTATTCAATAAAAATGATATTTTATATTGATGTCTCTTATTAATGGTTGCATTGCTATAGTTAATTTACTGATTTGTAATTTTCAGGACAATATGCGAGGCAAAGTTACTGCGGAACAAATATTTCGAGGAAAGAACATAGGCATTGTGGACATATCGAAAGCTTCCTACAAAACAGATTTCCGGCTAATACACAAGCATGAGGAGGCTAAATATTTACAAAAAGTTAAAGAATCTGTACCTTGTGATGTTAAGATTTATCCACAGACTATGGATATGCCCCCTCTTCTGAAGGTATAGTGTCCTGTGATTAGTTTATGTTGTTGTTCAAATTATAGATTACTGTACTTCTTTGCTTATTTGGTACAGCATTTCCACTTCTGTTAAGGCAGCTTATCAATTCATATAAAATGTTTGCATAGCTTTTCATTTCCTTACATTTCCTTTCTTTTCCTTACCTAAGAATTATCAAACCTTCATACTCCTGCTTTTTGTACATGCAGTTATTCTCTCTGTTTTCAGATGATTGCAGAGAGAGAGGGACACTCGGCAACCACTCTGAAAGTTAATCTGAACTCCAAGAAACGTAATAATTGTCGCACTGCCAAGGACGGGGAGACCCCCAATGTTAGCCTTTCCATTGATTTAGGATCCCCTGCTAGTCCAGAGCTTTATGAAGGTGTCTTATAAAAATAAACATAAAGGTGTTTAGTTTGCAATGTTGTATATATTTAGTACATAAGTATCATTCAGCTAATAAAGCTCTATTCAGTAAATATGGAATATTTCTCCCCCTTATGATAGCTAAGCAGAATGTCTTAAACCACCTTCTTTCGCTTGAGGTTACTTGGCACACATACATCTTATAGATTGAAATACAAATCTTGTGCAGGGATATGGACATGTGTGCCAGCAAGACTTCTGTGCCCCACAGTTAGGTAGAAATAACAAAAGATACTGTATTGATGCCTCATAAAAAAATAAATAAAACAAAGTAGAACAGAATAAGGGATTATGAAGCAAAATCAAAATGTCAACAAAAATATAGATTAACAGAACTATAAAATTAAGATTTGTTAAAAAAAAAAAAAACAAAGGCTAGAAAGTTGTAGGCTTCAATCTTGGAAATGCAGTGATG